ACTTTTTCATGATATTGAAAAACATCTTTAAGTTGAAACTGTATTCAAGAAAATGCTTCTGCATAACTATTACATCAATTTTTTAATTCATTAATATCTCCCTAAGGTTTAAACAATAGTAACAATGCAAAATAATAACGTTCAAGTTGAGTATGGACATTGAATTAGTAATGATCAATAAGATATCTACATTTACACTTCTTTAAATATAAGAATTTACCAATAACATAGTATTCTACATTATTAGAACATGGTTTAGATTTTGTCATATCATACCACTTCGCATAATTACGAGTATACAAATGAATAGATTCAAATTCTTTAAGTCTACTCGAATAATATGTATTTATTAAAGGAGGATAAAATATATCTATAGAGTTACTATCTAATAGAGTTTCAATCTCTTTGCGAGGCTTAAGTTTTCTATTTCTAACCATATTCACGTTTAACCATCTTATAGTAATCTTATAGTAATTCCATTCACGTTTAACCATCTTATAGTAATTTTACTATTATATTTTTGCATTAAGAATTGATCGTCTGAGTGTGTAATATTTAAAATATTTATTTAAAATTATATAATTTGTTTAACAAATATTATTTCAAATAATAATGTTTTCTTTATAAAATAATAAAGTTTTCTTGTTAAAATAATAATAAATATATATTTTTACTAAATATAAAAAGAAATAATAAAAATACATATAATACATCTTCATCGTTCGTCACGACATGATTCTCTCTCTTTTCCATTTTTTAGCATTTGACTCTTATAGGACATCATTCTTAGTTTACTTTTTAATTGCTAACCTCAGAGCTTTTACACACGAATCTATATTATATATTAGCAATTCAACATTACCGTGTTGCTTGATATACGTACCTCGATATCTCAATATTTCAATGTCTCAATTATTAATTATATCGGACACATTTAAAACGATATATTACAGAGCTATCGCAAGAATAAATACGATAGAAACGCGTTGCTTGATATACGTATCTCAATACGTATCTCAATTATCACATTTAAGGATGATAGAGCGTTATTGATATACGACATAATATACTAATGATACACGACATAATATACTAATGAGACTTAAACTTTGCGACATGTTGTAGAAAAGACTTAAATAATTGATCGGAAAGAAAAATCGACTACTGAAAATTTGTAATTTTGGCTTGTGAAATTTCAGATCTCAGGATTGTCTGTACTAATTTTTATCAGATTGATCGCAACTGAATGCTTGTATCAATGTTTCTGTCAGAAATACAATTAGATTTTTCATTACCATTTTATTTTTCGAGATATTTTAGATAGAAGTGTGATCAGCTTCTTGGTAGCGTCGTGTACCATGAACATATCACGGATCTGTCACATCTCGGACCTGTCATTCTCGGAACTCGTCTTTATGTACTTGGCTACCGCGTCGCTTAATAGAAAGGAATGCGAAGTATAATTTAATTTGAGAAACCAGTAAACACCAAGTAACGATTATATAACATTAAGTATAATGATTTTGATTCATCTTCCACTTTTCTCACACTAAAATGCAAACTAACGCGAGATATACCTCCAGTCATGTTTTATTTCAAATATTTATGACAGTCAGAAATCTCGCCCTGTAATACGTGTAGCATTGAGAGGAGATGGCGCACACAAACGTGGCCGTGTACGCTCCGACTTTCGCCGAAAATGAGTATCAGTAAAAAATGACAGACATATGATACGACGGTCAGTCTGCTTCCCTTGCTGGAGCGAACTGTCTTGTTGGACATGCACTGTTCAACTGTGATCAAAGGTGTATTTTTTACATTATATTATACATGTGTATGTTATATTATATTATATTATAGAATTAATAAATTCTAATTTAATGAAATCCACTTTTGGCCAACGTGTACATTTGAATTTAATAAATTTATCTTATTAAAATATATATAAAAATAATGAAATAAAAGCAAAATGTGATTTGGTTAATAACAGTAGTATATGTAAATACTTCGTAAGCTTATTGGTTAATATCGCATGCTATGTATGATCCATCAGATCCATCAGATATGTCATAATTCTTAATTCTTTTAATTTTATATTATTGTATAGTATCGCTGTACCGCAAAGAATATATAAATATTATTATAATTTGGTCTTTTTTTATAATAGATGAAAAATGTACATATTAATGTAGAAAATACAATGAGATAAAAAACGATTTTATGTATATATGCGTATGTATCATACATTAAATCTTAATCTTAATCTGATTAACTAACTAACTGACAAACGAAATTATATATCTTTGTTCTAAATTTCCAGTTTCAACCAAACATGGACGACCTTGAGCTATATTTCGATATGTATAAAAAATAATAGGAAAAACGTATACAAGCACATAAAAAAAAAAATGATAGACACAAGTTTCGTATAAAACAGATGAATTTATTTGGCTGGCTTAAATATCGGATTCTGCATTTAAAAAAAAAACTTAAAATATACCATTATCCTCCTTGAAATGACATGAAGTTATGATAAAATTTAATATTTTTACATAAAAACCATTTTTTTTACATTACCTCTCACCAAAATTATATAATGCGTGCTTATAGCGTCCAATTAATATTATAACTGTGCATGAAGTAAATCTAGATTACAAAAAAATTTCTGTAAATAGCTCTGTAAATATTTCTGTAAAATCTAGATTACAAAAATATTTCTGTAAATAGCTTCCAGACCAACATGAAGACGATGAATGTAAGCACGATCTTAGTCACTTGATGTATCCAATACAATCTGAAATTCATAATATTATTTAGTGCAAATATAACATTATGTAATTAAATGCCTTTTTACATAACACATTTCTATTCTATAACAATCGTCAATGATTCAACATTTCAATTTGAATTAATACAAAACGTCTAACAAGATTCATCCAAAATATTGGCGTTTTGGTTAACTTTCTTACGCTACTTTCCTGAAGCTATAATTTCCTGATTTTTCTGAGATTGGTGAACTAACAAAGGTGGCAAAAGTTCAAAGTTCTATGAAAAGAGCTGCAGGTGATGTAACATCAAAGATTATTGGCATCTTTTGAACCCCAAAGAGACAAAATATTTTCTAAGAACACTTTTGCACATCGGGAGGCCAACGAATTATTTAGATACTACTACTTTCATTGACTCTTTAGCTACGAACTGTGTATATATATATATCCATATATAATCATTAATATATACGAATGACGTGTATGTAATGTATTCTCTGTAACGGTCCGCACGATATATCAGGCGCCCCCGATAGTTTAGAAAAAAGGTTGTAAGGAGAACATTCATTTGTAATATGCAAGCTAGAATTCGCAAAAAAATAAAATTTTTTTTATGAAAGTTTAATTTCGCCTTAGATTCTTTAATATTAGTTCCTTTTCACAATATTACAGAGAATTTTAAGAGGAATTTAATGCATTCTTACTTTTATTGATATTTAATGTTATTGATATTTAATGTTATTGTATTCATTTAAGTTATTATTAAATCGAAAATACGTTACCTTTTCCATTTGATACGACTGACTTCCAAAGTGCTCAAATCATCCTTAAGCAGATAAAGACGCATACCTCTGAAATGATCTTCCAAATATTTCGACCAATCGAAACCTTTCATGTTAAAGTCGAATAAAAATTGATCATTTTTATTCATGCGTCGCCAGATCGCATGAATGTTGTCATTTGTATGAGTCCAGTTGTTCATTATAAAGTAACTGATCATATTATTGAATTCGTGAATATTACCATACAATTTCCATATGCTAAAAAGTTGAAATAATATTGACATGAATGTTATTTCGATAAATTTCGATAAATTTTAAATGACGCTATCCTCAAATACCTTTGCGGAGCACCTATGCATTTTTGAAAAATTTCAATGAATATTGCGGGTAACAGGTGTCCGAACCAAATGCATATTGTGTATATAATTTTATTGCT